ACGAACAACGCCCAAATCGACCTAACAAATAATAAAGTAGAATATGATCAAGGTATGGAGGAAATCAAATTCACTAACTGTCAACAAGTGAACCATTTTGAAGTCAATGACGCTGACGTCCCTGCCGCTATCAGACCCACTTTCAACCGAATGATTGACAGAATGATTAACGCCTTCACAGACGATAATGAATCCTTACCGTGTAATATTAACACTGTTGCCACAATCCCAACGGATGGTGAACCGGTATATTCTAAAGTATACCCATAACCAATGGGTGGGTCTGAATTTGTCAACGCAGAGGTTAAACAACTTCTGGCGAATGGTATAATTAGACCATCCAAGTCACCCTATAATAATCCAATATGGGTGGTCGTCAAAAAAGGTGTCGACAGGCAGGTCATAGAAAGAAACGTCTGGTGATTGATTTTCGAAAATTAAATCAAAAAACAACCTATCCCTACTATTTCCAACATATTATCTAACATATCTAGGCACAATATTTTCCAACACTAGACCTCAAATCGGACAGAGAAAAGACTGCGTTCTCTGTAAACAATGGTAAATATGAATTCTATAGAATTACATTTGGGCTGAAAAACGCCCCTAGTATATTCCAGAGGACAATAGACGATGTCCTCAGCGATAAAATTGGAAGGAAGACTTCCGAGGATGTACTCTTAGCATATTCCGACTTTAAAAAACCATTCGACTTGACGACAGATGCGTCGGGCCAAGGGCGCGGTGCTGTGCTATCTCAGGGCGGACGCCTTATAACCATGATCTCGCGCACATTGCGAGACAATGAGATAACACAAATCTCAGAAATTACTTGTACGGTGTTAAGAACCTGAACATCTACACAGACCACCAGCCATTAACATTAGCGGTTTCGGATAAAAATCCGAATGCCAAAATAAAACGCTGGAAGGTTTTTATTGATGGGCATAATGCAAACATCATTTATAAGCCATGCAACCATGAAACCCTTGTGGACGTAATGGCTCCACTCCTGCAACTTCTAAACTTCTTCAAAAAACAAGTAAGAAGGCTCCAGTCGAGACTGCTCGACTAGGAGATACCCTGAACCCTCCAAGCTGATATTCTAATCATTCTGGACTTCTTTTATGCACACATACATACACATGCACTTTTAAGCACGCGCTCTGCTAACTGCGCAGTAGGCAGCGGCTGCGCTGCAATGTGGGCAATATTATGAGAATTTATTTGTTGAATAATTTCTTTTGTAGACATACAGTCCTAATAAAACTTTTAGAGCATAATCATAAGGCTAAAATGTGTGTACATTCCAAAGCACAAGTCTCTAGTACTTTAAATGCGTTTTTTACAAATTGGGGGCGTGGTATCCAAAATCTGTAAATTACAAAATCTTTGTGTCCAATAACTTTATACACAACGCAAATTTGAAGTCTCCAGGTTTAAAAGTGTTCAAAGTAGGCTGAAAAAACCAAGTCGATTTTTCGATTATTCTCGATAAAAAAAGTTATCGGATGAGTTATCGAAAAAATAGAGCAAACTCGTACTGCCTATGGTATACACGAGTATGCATGCCAAATTTCAGCTCTCTAGCTCTTATATCTTCTGAGATCCTTTTGCTCATACGGACGGACGGACGGACGGACGGACGGACAGACGGACAGGGCTATATCGACTCAGCTCGTCGTACTGATCAAGAATATATATACTTTATGGGGTCTGCGATGATTCCTTCTGCCTGTTACATACTTTTCACAAAACCATTATACCCTGATTTCCCATTTTCAATGGGTTCAGGGTATTAAAAAAAAAACAAAAACTACTGCGATAATGAGAAATCGCAAAACACAGAGACCATCAGGACAATGTTATCAAACAACTTTGACATTGTGAACGCAAATGCACCTCCCTTACATAGTACATCTAACTGGCAGGTCGAGCGTTTTCACGACACTTTAAGGGACATAAGTCGTTGCTTAAAAAATGGAAATCATATCGAAGACACAATTAACAGCACTCTCCTTGCGACAATTAAGCACAATAGATTTATTAATTCAGTTACAAAGAAAAAAACCGATAGAAATTATCCATAATATTCCTATAAACGTTTCAGTGCAGATAAAAAACAATTTCACGTCAGCTCAAGAAAAGTCTTTAGAGCAGCATAACAAAAACAGGATTAAGAAAACGTACGAGATAGGTGAGAGAGTATGGGTAAAGTCCAATAAGAGACTGGCAAATAAACTTTCACCCTTATTCACTGAAGCAGTGGTTGAAGTAGACCTTGGGACAGCGGTCCTTATAAAGGGAATGGTGGTCCATAAGGACAGCCTTAAGTAAACCATTTTTTTTTTTTTACATTTTTCAACTTTTTATATCTGTTACCATAGGATAACATATATTTTAACCCTAACAATAGTGACTCTGACTAGAACCGACGCGACCTCAAGACTTAATGACTATACGCACGCTGACTACATACCTATTAAAGACGGGGACGTGACGATTTGGGACGAATACGGCAATATAGGACACACGAATAATTTGTCGAGATATGGGACAGGTACTGAAGACTGACTTACAACACTTAGCCACTCTCATTAGCACTCTTAACGTTCACCATAGACAAGCAAGAAGCATAAACCTGATAGGTAATGCCCTTAAGGCAATAGCAGGAACACCAGATTTTAATGACTGGGGGCAGATATAAGCAAACAAATCGAGATCAAGTAAGACTCAACGAAATTTAAAGAACTCTTAATAATGCCATTCAAAAACCAGATACTGAAGTCGAAAACTGTTATGTGTCTATCTTGGCGAAAAACAGAATGATAATTTTGGACCTAGAAGATTTTATTCTTTCTATTTCACTCGCAAAAATAAATTTAATTAGCTCACTCATTCTTGACGCTCACTCAGCATTGACGTAAAAGAATTAAATGACCAACTCACAAATGCTAGCGTAACAGACATACTAAAGGTATCCAATTTTAAGGCTTTTTAAAATTCCCAACTACTATATTTTTTATTCAAATTCCCTAGACCTAAGTTACATTGTAAAAGAATCAATATTTTCCCGGCCAGCATAGTAATGTCATAATAGAAGAAGCCGACGTGGTGGCCGATTGCGAGAGGAAAACCTTCGTCGTGCGCGACTACGCCTCTATTGTGAGCACCACCTGAAATCAAATACAGAAAGCAACGTTTGCCCAGCAACTGGTCTCAAATGTCACTGCACAATGCGCAACACGCCATGGGCATCTAGAGGCCATAATCGTAGTCGATGAAGGCGTCATAACCATCAACAGCGCCACGTACACGTAGTAGACAACACCGGAACTAGCAAGCAGGTCACGGGAACTTATGTAGTCACCTTCGATGACCACATCTCATTGAACGGAACCTGTTACGAAAATCATAGGGGTATTCTGAGAAGGAAACCAGCAGTTTCGACGTCAGGAATAGTCAACATAGCCTCCCGTTCCTACATGACCTGAGCTTGAGTAATCTTCGCCTCATCAGTAACCTCAAGCCTACCCGGGGAGGAGTTAACACGCGCCGACCAAATTGTGCTGACACGGAGTCAGCAACTTCTACACCGGACGCCGTTGCGACAGAGTTGCAGGCAAAATTGGACACCAGCACGTCACAGCGGGCTGATCGCCCACGGAAGTCACAGGCTCAACATTCTGTCGGCCCGGCCGCCGGCAGCGATGGCTTTAAGTCGCCATTTAGCTTTACGAAAGTTTAGGTTAGAATCTTCTCCGATAATGCTCACACGAGCTAAACAAAAAGATTGAGTAAATAAAGTGTCTTTTATAATAAATAGTCTTATTATTATTTATATAGCGCGGATATCGAGTTTATCTCCAAAAATCGATAGCTCATGTCGTTATTTTTTATCGATTAAAAACCTTATCGTAAATCAGTTTTAAAACTATATCTCCTACATCTTACCCCTTACCCCTGTATCCACCCCCTTCACCATCACCTTTGTAAAAGGCGTATTTCAAATACTAGAGACCTGTGCTTTTGCAAACATGCATATCCATATTATAATCATAATCTTAAAGTTTCATGAAGAAAGTACATCCACAAGAAAAGTTATTAAACAATTAGGTTCTCATAGTAAGCGCACACTGCAGCCCATACGTGTTTAGGCGAGGGTGCGTGTATGTGTGTGTGTGTATGTGAGTGTTGTGTATGCGTGTGTGTGGGTGTGTGTATGTGAGTGTTGTGTATGCGTGTGTGTGGGTGTGTGTATGTGAGTGTTGTGTATGCGTGTGTGTGGGTGTGTGTGCGTGTGCCTTGTGTGAACAGAAAGATGCGAAAAATGATTGAAATAGCTATTGCTCGTTCAGGGGATCTCGCGAATAATTATTGAAATATCAATTCTGAGAAGGGTTCAGGGGATTTCGTAGTCGAGCAGTCTCGACTAGAGCTTTCTTACTTGTTATACCCTGAAATCATTAAAATGGGAAATCAGGGTATAATGGTTTTGTGAAAAGTATGTAACAGGCAGAAGGAGGCGTGGCAGACCCCACAAAGTATATATATTCTTGATCAGGGTGACGAGATAAGTCCGATTTGGCCCTGTCCGTCCGTCCGTATGTATGAACGCTTTAATAAGTTCAGGGTATAAAAAAACTAAAAATATTTACGTATTTGCGTTTACCAATGTCATAAAATAAAATATTGCTATTATTTAAATTGTATTGTGTAGTTAAAACATTATTTTATCACCCTTCATTAAAACTATTATGTTTTATTAAAATTTGAGGAAGTTACAGCGTTTTTCATGATGATCTATCAGGGGTACGGTAACTTTAGTTGCACTGTGTATTTATACCAATCGGTGGTGTGTCATATCGTGTCAAAACGGATTTACAACAGTTTGGACAGTGAATGAGTATTGCATAGTCAGTAACTAGAGCTATGTTCAATTTTAAGTATCATGCTGCTTTAGACGCCTCAGTATAAAGCTTTTACTCTTTTTATTACAGATCTACCGAGTCAACCAATTTACAAAGGAGGGGGCAGCGAAGCCGATTTTTGTGGTATTGTCTATATGGTTGGGGAATGCCAACAGTTTTGACATCAATTACAGCCTCATTAAGCAAATCTAATTTACTGACAGAGAATATCCGACCCATGTTTGGACACGGGAGATGTTGGTTTACCTGTAGGTTTAAATATTTTCTTTTAAAAAAAATCTATTAATTTGTACGTATAATTGATTTCAGATGATACAATTGGATACGCAAGCTTAGTATTTTTTTCTGGACCTCTTGGCGTACTATTTGTCATAAATCTTGTGTTCTTTCTATTAACGCTGAATTATTGTAACAAAGTCAAAAGAGAAATATTCAGAATGCAGAGCTCAAATACTGAGAAGCATACGTTGAGAAGTCGGTTTTTTATGGATAAAACAAGATTTATTATGAACACAAAGCTCTGCTTTGTAATGGGAATAACGTGGCTTTTGGAAATCGCTAGCATTTTGTTTTATGATCACAAAAAAAACTTTTTTTGGTCAATTAGTGATTCTTTCAATGTTTTGCTGGGTGTCTTTGTTTTTATAATCTTCGTTTTTAAAAGACGTGTGTGGAGAGAAATCACGCTAAAAATAGGTAAGACAAATTTGAATATATATCTAATCAAATAATACTATATTTTTTTTTAAATCTAAACAAGTAAACGTCGGGCGTTACCGACTGCAGAATACTCATGCGCAGACCCTACATTCCTAGATCCACCAAAACTAATTTTAAATTTCAAGTCTCTAGCACTTATAGTACATAACATATACATTCAACGTATAGCCTGAAACCACTAAAAATGGATAAATGATAATGTGTACGGGATATAAGTACATATTTAAAGCTAGACTCAAAAAATTTTGCATGAACGTTTATTTCATATAGCGCACGTGGCAAGGAACAAGTTTGCAACGGAGCGGATCGCTTTTCCTATAACGCTTTCATGCCACCAAATTTTAAAAATTGCGACTGAATTGTGATTTATTAGCCGTTTTTGTAATATTACAGTATAGCTATCCGAATTTTATTTTTTCTTGTTATCGACTAAAAATCTTGCCGAAAATCTGTTATAAAATTAGATCCCCCTAATCGTCTTTAAACTTTTAACATAGATTCGTGTATATTTTATAAAAGCTCGCCACCAACGTCCTTTGCACAAAATTTGCAGCAAGCATATTTCAGATACTAGAGTCCATGTGTGTGTGTGACTGTGCTGTTTCTTGTAAGCAGAAAAGAAGTGAAGAATTATTAAAATAACATTTTCTGGAGATTTCTTACGTGTTATATCCAGAATCCATTGAAAATGGGATATCAGGCTATAATGTTTTTGTGAAAATGTATGTAACAGATAGAAAGCTGACCCCGTAAAGTATACATATATTCTTCATTAGGGCGATGAACTGAGTACTGACCATGTGTCTGTATATATGTAAGTATCTAATTATACCATGAACCCATTGAAAATGGGAAATCAGGGTATAATGGTTTTGTTAAATGTATGAAACAGGCAGAACGGGGGGTGGCAGACCCCATAAAGTGTACATATTCTTGATCAGGACGACGAGCCGAGTCGATTTAGCCCTGCCAGTCTGTCCGTCCGTCCGTATGCTTAAACGCGTCGATCTCAGAAAATGTTCTGAGCCATGAAATTTTTTTCCTAGGTCCTTGTATACCTTGCATATCAAGTTCTTCATTGCATTTCGAGTATTTTTCCAAAATGGATATCCGGCGCCGATATTTTCTATCTATTTAAAACCTATCGAAAATCAATAATACATTAATATCTGATAAATTTTTAGAGCTAGAGTCGCCAAACTTTAAATGTAGATTTATATATGCTGTATGGAATTTCGATATTTTTTTTTTAATTTACCCCCACCTCTATATGCACCCAATGTAAGAGGCTTATTTCTAGTACTAGACACATTTTCTTTGGCAAATTGGCACACATTTCGATGTTATAATAACGATCCGATAGATTCATGAATCTAGAAGAAAAGGTATTACCACTAACCAGAGAACACATAGACCGGACACGTAGTGTAAAGCGTTTTGCACACTTTTTTCGAGCATAATCTCCCAGACCACTTCGTATTTGCTCAGCTCTTCTACTTTTAGGTTCGGGCTACGAAAATATACGAAAGCACAATCATTTCGCTTCATGTGCTCGACCGAGACGGTCAAATGTTAAACAAAAGATGTCTCTATGCTCAATTTTTTCTTGCTCTCTCTCACTCTCGATTCTCTCTACTCTCTCAAGTATGTATATGTATTTATGCATGTGAGCACAAGCAGCAGCTCACGAAAATTGAAATTTCGTTGCGTTAGACTCCCGTTTCTTCCCTTATGTGTGAAGAGATTACCTAACTTTTCAAATCGTTTGTCATGCTCATGCGAAATGTTTGCGTTTTCGTTATTATTTGTGGGAATGAAAGCGTTGGTGCACATATTGAAAAAATTTTCGCGATGAGCATGCACACACACACACTCTACCTTGCTACATGTACTATGAGCATTTGTATGACTGTGTGTGAAGCTCTGGCTGCCTGTAACAATTTTGAAGCCCAGCATTTGCATTTGGTCGATCTTGTGAAGTGGTCACATACATATGTATGTATATACATTTGATTGATAACGATAACGAAAACGCATGGCAAACGGTTTGAAAAGTTCGGTATACTCTTCACACAGAAGGGAAGGCATGGGTTCTCGCAACGAAGAAATTTCAATTTTTGTGAGCTGCTGCTTGTGCTCACATGCATACATACATATACATATTTGAGAGAGCAGAGAGCATCGTGAGAGAGAGAGAGAGAGAGAGCAAGGGAAACATTCAGCGCAGAGGGATCTTTTGTTCAACAGTCGACCATTTCGGTCGAGGGCATGAAGCGAAATGATTGTGCTTTCGTATATTTTCGTAGCCCGAACCCAAAAAGTGAGGAGCCGAGCAAATACGAAGTGTCTGGGAGATAACTCCCGAAAAAAAGTGTGCAAAACGCTTTACAATACTTGTCCGGTCTATGTGTTCTCTGGTTAGTGATAAAACTTAACCTTTATTGGATGTATATTTCAAAATATTACCTCATTTTTTTTTTTAGGTTTGTGGTCAACTAACGATCGTCGTGGAAACCGAGGTGCGACATTTATAACACAATCAACATGTGTAAATCAAAGTATAGCTATGAAAAAACTTGGTGATGTTAATAGTGAAAACCCCCTTATAGGACGAACGACTTAGAGACAAAATGCCTTAAACCTTATTCAGTAAAATCATACTAATTTACATATTATTTTCAATATATTATATATTAAAATAAATGAAATGAGTGTATTTTGTACATGTGTATTATATTTTCAATTCAATAATAAATTGAAACAGTTAGGATATCTGAGCTTCGGAAAACGACATTTTATTTGTCTATGCAATTTTCGTGATATATTTATATATTTATATATATTTATATGCGAAGAAGTAAGAAGTAAAGAAGTGACGGCATTGATAGAGAAATGAGCGTTGGATTATCTTGTCGTATGTCAGATTATCTTTTATTAATATTTGCATTGATCACTAAATCACCAGCTAGGGATGCAAAACTATCGATAGTGAGGCCATCGATTTTTTCACATCCGATAGTGAAAACCATCGATTTTATCGATAGTACTATCGAAAATTTAAAATAATTACAATTTACTCCATTTTTTCTTAAAGTCTGCATATATAGAATGGTACTAAAAAATGTTTCTGACTTCATTTACAGCTATTATTTATAACTATTTATATAAAACGAAAACAAAAACCAATATTTGAAGCAACTTAAAAATAGATTCATTCATAATTTTCACAGCAGTAATAGGTATGTAATGTACGAAGGCCCTTTATACGGCCTTGTTGCATATCTGCAACATACCGTTTAAATTGAGGTATTTCGCAATGGGTATCAAGAAAGTGGTATGGCAAATTTTTTTGTAAGTCAGAAATATGTGTTTTTTCGATTTTTGTAGCTGGTCAGACTTGTCCACATGTCTTGCCATACAAATAATAAAATTTCCCGCCAATTTAGTGAATTGTGTATATGGTGTCCAAATCAATTTTATATTTGCAAATTTTTCTAATAACAAAAATTTTTAATTTGCGAACAACTACTTTTTAAATAAGGTAACTATATTAATAATGCGTTTGTAATCAAGTTTTTGGGTTTGTTGTTGTGTATTGTGAGTAACTCTTGAATATCGGTATGTTGCAGATATGCAACAAAGTACTATTAGGACTTCTTTTTTGCACTCTCAATTTTGTTGCATTTATGAAACATACCATTTATTGTGCTTATGTTTTATATGTCACTATATACTTCTTTTGTTGTTTTGTGTCATTATGTGTTGCTATGAATTTATTTTGGATTGTCTTATGTGTTTTATGTTCTTCTTTGAGGCCGACCTACACATATTTATATTTTTGTAGACAGTATTCCTTACTTAGGAATAATGTCCGCAAGGGGATTGACACCTTCGGAAATCGCAAGATTTTTTAATAGTTTGGAGAGCGAGGACGAATTCGATTTTTCTGCCAATGAAGAAAGTGATTTCGAGCCAGACAATGAAGAATTGGATGGTATGGATGAGGACATTAATGAGCAAGATGAGCGTTCTGACGTTGATGTAACCATTGCTTCAAATAGCACTGGTTCGCCCAAGAACAACCAAAAAGATCTCTGCTGCGGCTGCTCGCGAGTACTGCCTTGCCTCCTGAAGTAATGGAGCTTTCGGAGCCCATACAATTCTTTTCATATCTGTTTCCAAACCACCTTTTTGAGCATATTTCAAATGAAACCAATTTGTACATTCACCAAAAAGACCCCAATGAAAGTTTAAATTTCACTTTGATGGAAATTCGACAATTTGCTGGAATTGTATTGTATATGTCCATTTCACGTCTTCCACGAATAACCCAATACTGGTCTAATAATATGGGCATAGCAGCCGTTCAAAACATTATATCGCAAAAAAAATTCGAAACTATAAGACGTCATGTGCATTTTAACAATAATGATAATATTTTGCCTTTGACTCATGCCAATCACGATCGGCTTTTCAAAATCAGGCCAATTATCCAGGAACTAAACAACAATTTAAAAAAAGTTAAAGTGGAGCAGTTTTTGTGTGTCGACGAACAGATTTGTTCAACCAAAGCTAGAAATCATATGAAAAGATACAACCACAACAAGCCTCATAAATGGGGATATAGAATTTACGAGCCCAAATCACTATTAATTCGAACAGCATGTTTTTTTTGCAGTGCGCAATGTTTAACACACTATATTGTCAATACTACTAAAGATAACACATACCAATTCATTTCGTCTTAAAGATAATTTTATTCTCTTCATGATGAAAAAAAAAAATAATGCTCTCTTTCCAACAACAACAAAAATATAAGTAATTTACTAAAACGGTATACTTAAGAGATAAGAAAAAATTGACCACTATTAATTCGAACGCTGCGTAAGCTTACCTTAATCTCAAGAAGAGCAAAACAAAAGCAACTAATGTAACGGAATCACTATCTAGTTATGATCTGCAAATAATGTCACAATACAGCATGCAAAAAAATTTTAGAATTGCTGCAGATCAATGAAAGTTTAGCAACGATGGTGCGTGGTAAACCAATTTGTAAAGAAATCAGAGTATTGATTATGGATTATTTTAAATCTGGAAAGACACTTACGGAGATAAGCAAGCAATTAAATTTGCCTAAGTCGTCTGTGCATGGGGTGATACAAATTTTCAAAAAAAAAATGGGAATATTGAAAATAACATTGCGAATAGAGGCCGAACATCAGCAATAACACCTCGCGACAAAAGACAACTGGCCAAAATTGTTAAGGCTGATCGTCGCCAATCTTTAAGAAATTTGGCTTCTGAGTGGTCGCAGACAATTGGCAAAACTGTCCACCGAGAGTGGACTCGACTGCAATTAAAAAGTATTGGATATGGTTTTTATAAAGTATGTTTTGTTATTAGCTGTGCATCGTACCCAATAACTTACTCGTAATCTTACTCGTAGGCCAAGGAAAAACCCTTGCTTACGCTTCGTCACAAAAAGAAGCGTTTGCGGGAAAGGATGTCTTGGACTCAAAGGCAATGGGATACCATCATATTTAGCGATGAAGCTAAGTTTGATGTTAGTGTCGGCGATACGAGAAAACGCGTCATCCGTAAAAAGTCAGAAACATATCATAAAGACTGCCTTAAAAGAACAACAAAGTTTCCTGCGAGCACTATGGTATGGGGATGTATGTCTGCCAAGGGATTAGGAAGACTTCATTTCATTGAAGGGACACTCAATGCTGAAAAATATATTAATATTTTACAAGATAGTTTGTTGCCATCAATACCAAAACTATCAGATTGCGGTGAATTCACTTTTCAGCAGGACGGAGCATCATCGCACACAGCTAAGGGAACCAAAAATTGGCTGCAATATAATCAAATGGAGGTTTTAGATTGGCCAGCAAATAGTCCAGATCTAAGCCCAATTGAAAATATTTGGTGGCTAATGAAAAACCAGCTTCAAAATGAGCCACAACGGAATATTGCAGACTTGAAAATCAAGTTGCAAGAGATGTGGGACTCAATTTCTCAAGAGCATTGCAAAACTTTGTTAAAATCAATGCCAAAACGAGTCAAATGTGTAATTCAGGCCAAGGGCGACGTTACACAATTCTAATATTAATTAAATTATTGTTTTGAATATGATAGTAAATCACATTACGCAGCGTTCGAATTAATAGTGGTCAATTTTTTCTTATCTCTTAAGTATACCGTTTTAGTAAATTACTTATATTTTTGTTGTTGTTGGAAAGAGAGCATTATTTTTTTTTTTCATCATGAAGAGAATAAAATTATCTTTAAGACGAAATGAATTGGTATGTGTTATCTTTAGTAGTATTGACAATATAGTGTGTTAAACATTGCGCACTGCAAAAAAAACATGCTGTTCGAATTAATAGTGGTTTGGGCTCGTATGTTCTTAGCGGTCATTCAGGCTTCTGCTATAAGTTAAGAAGTAGACGCTGACAGGTTCGCATTTTTTACCATCTACTCGACTTGACAGTGAGTAATGCTTGGCTTTTGTACAAACGCGTTCATAAGGCGAATGCATCAAGCACTAAATTCTTAGGATCTACCGAGTTTCGGATAAATATTGCAGAGGTGCTAACAAAAATTGATACCAAATCAATAATGGAAAAAAGATGTTCTATGCTCGAGAACGAATTGCAGCAAAAAAAAACAAAGAGGTCCTACGCAACGCGTGCCAAATGGTACGGCAGGATGAATTTGGACATTGGCCTTTGTGGGGTGAAAAACGAATAAGGTGCAAGTACCCGAAGTGTACGGGATTCTCGCAAGTAATGTGTGGGAAATGTGAAGTGGCCTTATGTTTCAACAAGAGAAACAATTGTTTTAAAAATTTCCACTTAAATTAAAGTTTAATAAATATATTATTAAGATAAATAGTCGTATAGTCATTAAATAAATATATTAATATGTTAAATAGTTTAAGAATATCCAAATTAAATATTACGTTCTTCTAAATACCCAGAGAACTATCAGTAATTTTTTTCCCCCTTAAGCACATCTGTTGCATATCTGCAATAGATCCTTTTTCCTTTATAAAATCGTACTGAATCAAAATTTTGAAAAACGAAAAAAAAGTGTATTTTTATTTTCATCAAAATCGGACGTGGTGCCATATAAAGGGTTAAAACACAATTTGTATTTAAATGTATTCAAAATAAGTATATATTTTATTGGCGCGTTGGCGTGGGTAATTTTTTATGTACATCTTTTTAAAGAGAAGGGAAAACTCTTGATACTACTATCGATAAAGACTATCGTTAAACTAACTATAACCACTAACCAGAGAACACATAGACCGGACAAGTAGTGTAAAGCGTTTTGCACACTTTTTTTCGGGAGTTATCTCCCAGACACTTCGTATTTGCTCGGCTCTTCACTTTTTGGGTTCGGGCTACGAAAATATACGAAAGCACAATCATTTCGCTTCATGCGCTCGACCGAGATGGTCGACTGTTGAACAAAAGATCCCTCTGCGCTGAATGTTTCCCTTGCTCTCTCTCTCTCACGATGCTCTCTGCTCTCTCAAATATGTATATGTATGTATGCATGTGAGCACAAGCAGCGCTCACAAATTGAAATTTCTTCGCAGCGAGAGCCCATGCCTACCCTTATGTGTGAAGAGTATACCGAACTTTTCAAACCGTTTGCCATGCGTTTTCGTTATTATTTGTGGGAAGGGTATGAAAGCGTTGGTGCGCAT